AGCTTTGAAGACTCATTTACAAGTGAGACCTGTTTAATATTATAATATACAAACCGGATTCCAAAAAAGTTGGGACACTAAACAAATTGTGAATAAAAACTGAATGCAATGATGTGGAGATGGCAATGTCAATATTTTATTCGTAATATAACATAGATGACAGATCAAAAGTTTAATTTGAATAAATGTAACATTTTAAAGGAAAAATATGTTGATTCAAAATTTCACTGTGTCAACAAATCCCAAAAAAGTTGGGACAAGTAGCAATAAGTGGCTGGAAAAAGGAAATTGAGCAAATAATGAACAGCTGGAAGACCAATTAACACTAATTAGGTCAATTGACAACATGATTGGGTATAAAAAGATCTTCTCAGAGTGTCAGTGTCTCTCAGAAGCCAAGATGGTAAGAGGATCACCAATTCCACCATTGTTGCGCAGAAAGATAGTGCAGCAATACCAGAATGGTGTTACCCAGCGTAAAATAGCGAAGACTTTTAAGTTATCATCATCAACCGTGCATAACATCATCAAAAGATTCAGAGAATCTGGAACAATCGCCGTGCGTAAGGGTCAGAGCCGTAAAACTCTACTGGATGCTCGTGATCTCTGGGCCCTTAAACGTCACTGCACCTCAAACAGGAATGCCACTGTCAAGGAAATAACAGAATGGGCTCAGGAATACTTCCAGAAAGCATTGTCAGTGAACACAATCCACCGTGCCATCCGCCGTTGCCAGCTGAAACTCTACAGTGCAAAGAGGAAGCCATTTCTAAGCAAGCTCCACAAGCTCAGACGTTTGCACTGGGGCAGGGGTCATTTAAAATGGAGTGTGGCAAAATGGAAGACTGTTCTGTGGTCAGATGAGTCACGATTTGAAGTTCTTTATGGAACACTGGGACGCCATGTCATCCGGACCAGAGAGGACAAGGATAGTCCAAGTTGTTCTCAACGCTCCGTTCAGAAGCCTGCATCACTGATGGTATGGGGTTGCATGAGCACTTGTGGCATGGGCAGCTTGCATGTCTGGAAAGGCACCATTAATGCAGAGAACTATGTTCAGGTTCTAGAACAACATATGCTCCCATCTGGACGTCATCTCTTTCAGGGAAGACCCTGCATTTTTCAACACGATAATGCCAGACCACATTCTGCAGCAATCACAACATCATGGCTACGTAGGAGAAGGATCCAGGTACTGAAATGGCCAGCCTGCAGTCCAGATCTTTCACCTATAGAGAACATTTGGCGCATCATAAAGAGGAAGGTGCGACAAAGAAGGTCCAAGACGATTGAACAGTTAGAGGCCTGTATTAGACATGAATGGGAGAGCATTCCTATTTCTAAACTTGAGAAACTGGTCTCCTCTGTCCCCAGACGTCTGTTGAGTGTTGTAAGAAGAAGGGGAATGGACTTGTCCCAACTTTTTTGGGATTTGTTGACTCCATGAAATTTGGAAACAACAGATTTTTCCATTAAAATGATACATTCTCTCAGTTTAAACTTTTGATCTGTGATTTTTGTTCTATTCTGAATAAAAGATTAGATGTTGGCACCTCCACATCATTGCATTCAGTTTTTATTCACAATTTGTTTAGTGTCCCAACTTTTTTGGAATCCAGTTTGTATTATAATTAATAATAATTATATAATATGTTAATATTAACCAATATTTCTTTAACTTTTCACAAAATGTGTACAGTAAATAGCAACAGAAACAAAAAAAAAACAAACAAACAAATGATTTCAAACAAACCATACAGTCTGAAGTGAGTTTTTTGTTTTCTTGTTTCTCCAGGAAGCACGTGGTCTCCGACCGCCTTCATCGTGGACGATGAGTACCGAGCGGACGGCCTGAACCTGGGCTCGGTGGTTGTGGACGATGAAACCGGTTCGGTCATTCTCATCTACTCCTTCTGCTTCCACCTTTACCACTGCAGCCCGGCCAGCACCATGATGGTGGAGAGCGTGGACGACGGCCTCAGCTGGGGCGTTCCCAGAAACCTCTCGGTCCAGCTGGGAGTGAAAGCTTTCCTTGCCGGGCCGGGCTTCGGCATCCAGGTGGGACAATGATCTGGAGCTAAGGTGGGACACGATAGAGCTGAAATTAGGATCTAAAAACAGAAAC